TATATATATATATAGCTACAGCTATAGCTGGATTCCTATATAGGCCGATAAGTATAGCTGATCCGACACCCCTGAAATTTTCAAATCTAGTTTGAGAGCAAAGGAGCATAATCGGGAACCTCGACCTCCTTGGCTGGCTTCTTGCCAGCAAAGAGCTCCGACTCATCAGTGTCATTACGACGACTCTCATGCTCAATCCTCAATTTCTGTGAAGCCAACCTGGCGAGTAGGCTATCCTTCCTGCTCGATGGTACACACGTAGTAACGGACGAAGAACCCGACCCCGACAACAACGAAAGGTCGCTGCAGTCCCCGTTGCCATCGACCTCGTCCGAATCTTCATCCGAATCTGCACCAGCTGCTCCAGTTGCCTCTTTTGGTTCCTGGGCTGCGTATTAATGTAGGAGCCGAGCTCGAGAGAGGTTGGAGCTCAATTCAGGAGGTTGTTATATATCAGGATGTAAAGCCGAGCCTCAAGACCGGGTATGCCCAAGGCAGCTACACGTGATCGAAGGGGATTCAGAGCCTTGAGTTTGCTGGTCGTCGCTTTCTTCATGATTCGCCTCATTCGTCCCACCTTAGATTTATCAAGTTCCCCGAGGTATACATTGTGCAATCATTAATCGACTGGCTGCATGCATCTATAGCCTGCAGGAATTACGTGACGTCAGAGGTTTAGTCGAGGCACCATCTTCTTGACGGCATCTCCCATCCGAAGTGACCACTGCTGCACACAACACATATCCGACCTCAACCCTGGTGGGTAAAGCTTTTCTGAATCGTAGAATTTGCATACAGCTGCCGCAATCACGTGAGCACTCTGCCGCGAAGTGACGTGCCCTTTCATGGTAGCAAAGATCACCTCAATGTGGGACAGGATCCCCATGCACACTGCATGTACATATGCACACTTGTACATGGCATGCTCATATGTTGCTTCCAAGGCACATTGTCATTCCTAACAAGATCCCTTAAGGAGCACTTCTTGCTAGTAAAGAGTCGGCCCGAGTGATCGATAACGAAACTCATGCCCACCTCAACTCAAATCAGATTTGTGTACACCTGGAAGCCTTAGACTACGATGCATTCTTCACACTCTTGCAACCGAAGTTTCTTGTTTCAAGTACGGCTGCTCCTTGTAGCATTTTACCAGGGAGGCAATAGCGGACTCATCCAAATGCGGAGGCATTGCTGCTGCAGGGCTATGTAGCTGGAATATATTGGACGAATCTCAGTCGATCATCACAACCCTATTGCACCGTGTGCCGGACAGGAAATTTAGCGCTACTATAGTGCTCTACATAATGTACCTCCTGAGCTACAGCCCATCAAAATGGCCCTGGGTCCGTGCACGAGTGCAATACACAACCAGCACAGCATCGTTCGATCATGCTTCCACTGAAGACTTGCAGAGCTCAGCACACAGAACTGTCATGTTGCTTAGCCGCAGCAAGCCTCACATGAACTTCATGAAGACAGCCCTCCTCCTAACGAACTTAAATCAAAATATGACCAGCGGGGGAATGGTAGCACCTGTTTGCGGGATGGAGTTGTGCCTCACGTCCCAGAGTCGTACCTGTCGGAGGACCAACAACAAAATTCTTTGTAGGCTGGGTTGGGGTTAAGGGGATATATGCACATATGCGCTGGCACTCGATATATTTCATAAGCATCGATCCCAACATCCCAGGCGCACCATGTGCCATCGATGCTCGTGATCACGTTGTCGAGGCTCCAACCAGCTGCAAGCATGAAACTTAATTGAGGCAATCGGAATCGGACACACATTCGATGTCTAGCATTGGCACTACAGCTGTACTTTTCCATCGGGGCCTGGGGCTCTTCCTGTGGATGTTCATACCCAATAGGGCAGGTTCTAAGTGGGCACCTTGCCTGTATGACATTCTATAGCTATCTAGTCAACTACATAAGGTTCGGCTCCGAATTGCTGTTGCTTAGAGCTCGAGACGAAGCTTGTTGCAAAATCCTAGCATCTCCCATCACAGTTTTCGGGGCGAGCACGGTGCATCAATACCCAGCCATTGGCACCGATCCTAAGACATGTTCGGGGTGAAAGCTATGGCTCATCTTCGGGGTACTGTGATACATTTGTGTAATGACTTTTTAAATTGGGTTACATACCGGGCTCAGGTTTGATATGGTGCCTCAAGACCTGCGGTATATATTTAAGTCGACACCTTAAGCTTGAGCCCCTTCCCAGCCCGCCTCCTTCGTCTGCTTTCAGGAGCTCGGCATCGAGAACGAAGCGGCGATCCAGCTCTACCTCACCTCTAAATCTATGTACGTACTTGTAAGTTATATAACCTTGTTTTTAGTTAGACAAACCCCAGGCCCGTAAGACCTAACCCGAGTTGCAAAGCATTCACCTCTATACCTCTGAAGCAATATAGAAACTTTATTGGAAAAATCGTATGCTTTCATAATATGTCTACCATAACACATCTCATCAGATGAACAAAGAGAGATATATGTATATATAAAAATCTACAAGTATCTCAACGATTTATAAAGAGTTCTAGACCAGACTTAAGTTAATAATTATTGCAAAACCTTAGAAATACAGACTGCCTCACCCGAGCTAAAAATCACACACCCCCACTTAATGTACGTACCTCCGGGTTATTATGAGTTCTTGGTCTGGGTCTTAAATCTATTGCCATCGGTTTACATATGGGATTGGTCCATCGATGATCGACTCACAGCTGCGCTTCGAATCTGCGGACTACACCATGAAGCGACGACCCTCTA